AATTAATTAATTAAAAAAAAAAAAGACCACTCTTGGCAATGAGATTCTGTATGTATGTATGGATGGATGGATGTATAAAGAAAGAAACAGACATAAGACTGGGAAACGCAGGCCACAGATGTAACTCAGTGGCACAAGTATCTGCCTGGAAAGTGACAAGTCCTAAATTGAATTCCTGATACAAAAAAACCCAAGGAGAACCACAAGTTTGGTCCATTTGAATTGCTTCCCCTCTGGAGAACTTATTCTTATCAATACATTGCCAAAATGTCCTTTTGAGACTGCACATTTTTCTTAAGACACTGCTTACATAGATTGCTCTAGTAAGGGCTATACCTGGAACCCAGATCAATCTTTGTTTTGTACTGGGAATTGATCCCAGGACCTTGTGCTTGCCAGGCAGGTGCTGAGCCACTGAGCTATATGCCTGGCCCCAAACAGATGAATCTTGTAAGAGTTTTCATAGGTGGAATGTTGCTGAGATGATCTTCTAAAATTCTCAAATACCTTAGGTAAGCGCAGAGGCCAGGGTTCAAACCCTGGCACTGCATGCCACATCAGCCCTGTCCCCAGGCGTGCTGAGCCAGCGATGGAGTCCCAGCGTGGTGCACGCCTGTAATCCCAGCACTAGGGAGGCTGAAAACTGGAGGATCACTACGAGTCCGAGCTGTGTAGTGAAACCCTGCACACACACACACACACACACACACACACACACAAATTCTCAAATACAGTTCCTGAAATAAGGAGATGCAAGAGTTATAAATACCAAGCTTTCCATTTTTTTCTTCTTTGTCAAATTTCTCAACTTGCCACTGACTAGAGCTCAGTATGGGGACTTTCTTTTCTACTCAATACATACGTGTGTGTGTGTGTGTGTGTTTTATTTTTTATTTTTTTTCAGAACCAGGGATTGAACTCAGGCCCTTGGGCTTGCCAGGCATGCGTTTCTTCTACTAAGCCAGTTCCCTGGCCCCTTACATATATATGTATAAAGATACACATATTAAATATATATATTGAAGAAACTGCTTTAGAAAGAAACCACATATTCTGCTTTCCGGTGTGTTCCACAGGTATTGGAGAAGTGACAAAAACAACTTCTGGCACAAGAATGCCAATTTATTCTTTTTTGGACACATGAACACAAAATATCCCTGCAGGCCAAAGAAATTGCAGAATTTAAACAACCATTATCTTACCTCCTCATGGGGATGCATCCCCTCCCTTAATAGTTTAGAAAGTACCTCGTATTGCTAGAGACATACATCCAGTCCAAATTTAATAAAATACATTTTAAAACATTACAAGTCTAAAGGTATAGAAACAAAAATCACACCATTAGTCAAATGAACAAATGCAAACATTTTCAGCCACTAGACATAGAAAGAGCATGAATATGTCAATAGCAAGGGATAAGAAAATGGTTAATCAATAAGATCTTTCCTGTAACTTTACAAGGAAAAATTCTTGGAGTTGAAGCAGTACTGATACAATGCCCTTAGCCTCCACTTTCTTAAAATGAAAGCAGAGCTACCACTTCGCTACTGAGCAAGAAAATCTTACAGCACATCCACAAAGGGTCAGTGGGGCAGGGCAGACAGGGTGAATTCTATTAAACAGTGGATTCCCTTGCCCCATGGGAGTGGGGTAGGTAGTTGAGCCCGGTAGGCAAGCTCTGAAATAGGCTGGGCACCAGGTCCTAAAGAACAGACCATATAGAACATGTCTGCTTGTGAATCGTCACCTTTGGAAGCAGCAAATAGAATTTACAGTAAGAATAAATGTGTTCTGTCTGCCCAGAATGCTGGTTGTATTAAGCCAGCTGGTTGATTTTATAAACCACTCAAAATTCAACAGCTAACAACGACAAAACATAATTGGTTCAACATTTGTGTCTTCACCACTCTCTTATGTCCCACTCCTTATCCCCAAATTGTTATTTTTAGCATTGCTACATTTAAATCTTTCACACCACATGACAGTGCCTAAACAGGCTGCATTTAAAAAAAGAAAAACAAACAAACAAACCCAAACAGCCTAATACTAGTTCTAGAGAATGCACACCTCCCAATGATTGACACATGCATAACAATTTAGTCTTAATAGGGTTACCTATTAGAATTATCAAGCCGAATTAAATTTTTTAAAACTGCACCTTCAGACTTGCTTGCAATAGAATTGCTGCAACTCTATGCGGTGGTTACCTCTTATAGATTCACCCCTCCACAAGTTACTTTTTCCCCCCAATAATCCTACTTCTATATTTCTTTCCTTTTGTCCAAAATGACAGCATTGCACCCTTAATGGGACTGTTTTCCTATAAAAATAGGCCTCCCGGCTTTTCCTCCACCACCGTGCTGATTGGCCCCAGTGTACTATGACAGACTGAGGTCTTACAAATGGTATAGTCTAAGGTTGAGCACAGAGCCCAACTGTAGGCAAGGGGACTAGGGCCTCTGGGCCCTTGGCCTGGCCCTGCTCCATGGACGCCAGGATATGGTGAGAGCTTCTGCTGTGCGTTATTAACAAATGAGCCTGAGGCACTCCAGTGCAGGTGTGGTGCCCGCTGGCCGGCCAGCCAGCCAGCCAGCCAGAGTTCTTCACGCCTTGGACTCTAAAGAGTCCTCCTCCTACAAGGCTTGTATTTTTCTCCTCTTGGGTCCAGAGTGGCCATGCTGAAGGGTTATTTTCTGTGCTGTCCCTGAAACAAGTGTGAATAAAAGCAGCAGCCAGCCCCTCACCAACACGTCCTGATTTGTATTGTTCAAGTGAGGTATTTGAGAAAAAGGAAAATCTTAAGATAGTAACATCTTCCATCTCTTCACTCCTGACTATGTTGTGCTTCAGTCACAGAACTTGCTTTCTTCCCACTATCTCATCACCATGAGCTATAGGACATAAAATTCTCAGAGACCAGTCTCGGCAAACACTAGTGGTGTTACTGAGTAACAGCACATGAAAATGTAAACTTCAATGTATTTACAAGTTTGCTGAAAAGACTGAAGAAAAACAGTGCTTTATATTGCTGGGATTTCGAGAAGGCTAGTTTAAGAGATTTAGACCAACTAATGAGTTTAAGCAAATGCTTTTCATCATCTGATCCAGAGTTTCCCAGCAGCAGTTTCCAGACAGAGGTGGCAAAATTGTTTTTACCACATTGTGCCTGTCTCTTCCTGCCCCGAACACCTCCATCAGCCTTATGAAGTGTGGCTCTGGGTCCTTTATCTCTCACTCCTGCCAATCCAGGATGCAGAGTAACAGCAAAGTCAGCAAAATGTGGAGTGGGAAACACTAGCTGGAACTACCAAGACTCTATGTAATTGATGTCCATTACAAAGTATTATCTACACTAAATACAAAATACATTTCCCCCCTACATTTTAACTGATGCTTGCTTCACGCAACTCCCTTTGTTTGGACAAGAAAGGAATCCTGTCGCCCTATGTGTGGAACCCAGAATCTACTAAGAAAAATCGACCAGTTCTACACAGTTTTAGTTGATTAAAAGGAAGGAAACCCATCATCTCTTTCAGTTTGAAAGACAAGCAAAAACATTGCACTGCAAATAATTGTGTGAGCAATCTTGATTCCCAGGGGAAAAAAAAAAAAACTTAAATGCTGGTACATTTTTGGAAGTGCAGCATCACTCAATGTGCCTTTAAGGACTGGTAATGCCTATCCAAGAGGAAAGTATCCTGGTTGTAGCTTATTCTAAAACAAAGTGACAGGCTAACTATGACTATAAAATTAGTAAAAACAATTCTTTAAAAAGGCATGGAAATATATGTCTTTTCTGATTGTTTCAGAAATTGCCAGGTTATGATGTATAAGAAATAGCTGATAAAATCATACCAAAATCTCATCTAGAAAACTACATCATCACGGGGAGGAAAAGGAGGGACCTTAAAAAATGCTTATTGCCAAAGTTAACTTTCTATGAGAAAAGTTTAAAAATCATTTAGATCTAACAAATCACACAGCAGCATAATATGGGCACTTTTGAAAACTTGAAAAAATACTAAAAGCTAATTTTTCTCTAAAGAGGGAGAAACATGAGTACTTTGACCATGGCAGTGTTATCTGTCACTGTGACATGCGTTACATCTGTTTATGTCACACATTCACAAAAGTCGACTGAATAAAGAGAACTGCCCGTTTGACTCTGCAGCCAAATATAGTGCAATTGCCTGGCAGCCTGTACTTGCACCAGCACAAGTCTGCAGAGATCAGGAAGATAAAGTAGTAAAACTAATAAAACTCTGTAAAACTTTCAAAAATTAATGCTCATTAAAGGCATTTACAGTGGCGAGAGTCAGAAATCTCCATTAAAAAGCTTATGGGCCCACCTAAATAAATAGTTACACTGAACTGAAGTAGATTGTTTGGTTTTTCTCTCTCACTTATGCACACACCCCATTCAATGAACACAGAAAGAAGAAATACTCTTTCTTATAAGACTAGAGGGATGCGGTGAACACCACAGCTAGCAAAATAATCCATAGAAACCCTTCTTGTAAAGTCCTTTAGAAAGTTCAGGCTGATTAGCCTTTGCACGTTGAGGTAAAAATTCTGTCCAGTGCATCAGAAACATCTACTACTTTAAAAAAATGGCTCAATTTTGTTGATGCATCAGACAGTGCTGCAAGTACAGATTCAGTGCAACTATTCTGAGCTGCTGGTAGAGGACCACCTGAAGTCAGCTTGGCTCTACTAGAGGCGGTAGGCATTTGAAACATCTGGAGGCTGTGTGGGGTGCCAAACTAGCTGAGTTCCTTTTCTGAGACTCTCAGGCAAAATACATTGTGTGTTGGGTGTCATGGTGGATCTGCACAGCCTTAGCCAAGGCCTGAGGATCCCGGCCGTTGCTCTGTCCTGACACATGACTGCCTTCCGCACTGCAATGAGAAGAAAGCAAACAACCAGGTGTTAGTTAACAGAAGACTGCTTTACAGTTCACATATTCAAATTAACACAAATAGTACTGGATTCAAGATGTTAGGCTCAAATAATAAACAGTTGGTGTCTCACTGTACATCAATTTGCTTAGCTGAAAAACGTAATGCAATTTATTTAATGAGGTTGTTAGAATTAAACAAAATAACATCTGCATGTACCGAAATTTTTAATAGTACCAATGTAAGGAATAACACTGTGTGTTATAACTGGTGAATTACTACTTATCCTTTAGGCTTCTATTAAAGGTCACTTTCTCCATGGTAATATTTTCTGTCTCTAAAGTCTACATCATGGGTAAGGGATATAGTTCAGTGGCACAAGCCCCTGCCTGGCAAGCACATGGTCTTGAGATCGATTCTTGGTAC